CATATGGAATGGACGGGGATGCTTGTCGTCTCGCTTGGGGGTGTAAATTTCGGATTTTGGTCTTGCTTAGGGTGTTCCAGGCAAAATGTCATTATTTTTAGCCGTCAAGGTCTCGTTAAGGATGCACGCGAAGAAATAACAAAACAGAAAGAATTTTGATTCTTTATATTTACTCAATTCATATAAATCATTAAAAGTCACTGTACTTTTTATTTGTCTGTTTTATAAACTGGTCTCTTTTAGGGGTCTGCATAAGCTTCGGCCACACCCAGATTGGTCTCTTTTAGGGGTTAAAGTCAAAGTTTCCGATGAGCATCCCCATCCACTCCATATGGGAGTCTCCCCCACGGGCTCTGAACTGCCACGCAACTGCCACTTCATGGTCACTGAACTGTTTTGCTACTGCCACTCCACTTCCATTGAACAGCTGTTACTCCACTGCCTCCGACCTACCATACTACTTCCACTCCACGGCCACTGAACTGCCATGCTACTGCCCCTCCACAGCAACTGATTCCCCTGATGATGCTACTGCTATGCTACTTTACTGACTGATTAAGATAATGATAGATAATAGATTTACAGTTGCATTTTGTGATTGCTTGATTCATTGATTTATTTGTTCATTATTTCATGTTGTTATATGTTTAATAGAAAAATATTTTCCAATATTTTCCTATTTGCAGAACGACTTCTGTGCATATGTGAAGAAAAAACACAATCAGGTGTTTCGTGGACAAGACATTGGACGCAGCCCTAACTTGTCTTGGGAAAGACAAATAGCCAACACAGTCAAAGAGCTAGAGAAGGCCATCTTTTCCCAGTAGAGGTATTCTCTTGACTAGGGGCCTCTTAACCAAGCTTTTTTCAATTTAAATAAGGCAACAACTAGGTTCAGCAAAGGCCTAATATGTTTGCATCTCGTATCAATTTAAAGATGGCAACTACTAGGTTCAGTAAAGGCCTAATGTGTTTGCATTTCATATCAATTTAAATAAGGCAACTACTAGGTTCAGTAAAGGCCTATGTTTGCATTTCGTATCAATTTAAAGAAGGCAACTACTAGGTTCATTAAAGGCCTATGTTTGCATTTCTTAGCAATACAAAGAAGGCAACTACTAGGTTCACTAAAGGCCTATGTTTGCATTTCTTATCAATTTAAACAAGGCAACCACTGGGTTCAGTAAAGGCCTATGTTTGCATTTCTTATATATCGATACAAAGAAGGCAACTACTAGGTTCAGTAAAGGCCTATGTTTGCATTTCTTATCAATACAAAGAAGGCAACTACTAGGTTCAGTAAAGGCCTATGTTTGCATTTCTTATCAATACAAAGAAGGCAACTACTAGGTTCAGTAAAGGCCTATGTTTGCATTTCTTATCAATACAAAGAAGGCAACTACTAGGTTCAGTAAAGGCCTATGTTTGCATTTCTTATCAATACAAAGAAGGCAACTACTAGGTTCAGTAAAGGCCTATGTTTGCATTTCTTATCAATACAAAGAAGGCAACTACTAGGTTCAGTAAAGGCCTATGTTTGCATTTCTTATCAATACAAAGAAGGCAACTACTAGGTTCAGTAAAGGCCTATGTTTGCATTTCTTATCAATACAAAGAAGGCAACTACTAGGTTCAGTAAAGGCCTATGTTTGCATTTCTTATCAATACAAAGAAGGCAACTACTAGGTTCAGTAAAGGCCTATGTTTGCATTTCTTATCAATACAAAGAAGGCAACTACTAGGTTCAGTAAAGGCCTATGTTTGCATTTCTTATCAATACAAAGAAGGCAACTACTAGGTTCAGTAAAGGCCTATGTTTGCATTTCTTATCAATACAAAGAAGGCAACTACTAGGTTCAGTAAAGGCCTATGTTTGCATTTCTTATCAATACAAAGAAGGCAACTACTAGGTTCAGTAAAGGCCTATGTTTGCATTTCTTATCAATACAAAGAAGGCAACTACTAGGTTCAGTAAAGGCCTATGTTTGCATTTCTTATCAATACAAAGAAGGCAACTACTAGGTTCAGTAAAGGCCTATGTTTGCATTTCTTATCAATACAAAGAAGGCAACTACTAGGTTCAGTAAAGGCCTATGTTTGCATTTCTTATCAATACAAAGAAGGCAACTACTAGGTTCAGTAAAGGCCTATGTTTGCATTTCTTATCAATACAAAGAAGGCAACTACTAGGTTCAGTAAAGGCCTATGTTTGCATTTCTTATCAATACAAAGAAGGCAACTACTAGGTTCAGTAAAGGCCTATGTTTGCATTTCTTATCAATACAAAGAAGGCAACTACTAGGTTCAGTAAAGGCCTATGTTTGCATTTCTTATCAATACAAAGAAGGCAACTACTAGGTTCAGTAAAGGCCTATGTTTGCATTTCTTATCAATACAAAGAAGGCAACTACTAGGTTCAGTAAAGGCCTATGTTTGCATTTCTTATCAATACAAAGAAGGCAACTACTAGGTTCAGTAAAGGCCTATGTTTGCATTTCTTATCAATACAAAGAAGGCAACTACTAGGTTCAGTAAAGGCCTATGTTTGCATTTCTTATCAATACAAAGAAGGCAACTACTAGGTTCAGTAAAGGCCTATGTTTGCATTTCTTATCAATACAAAGAAGGCAACTACTAGGTTCAGTAAAGGCCTATGTTTGCATTTCTTATCAATACAAAGAAGGCAACTACTAGGTTCAGTAAAGGCCTATGTTTGCATTTCTTATCAATACAAAGAAGGCAACTACTAGGTTCAGTAAAGGCCTATGTTTGCATTTCTTATCAATACAAAGAAGGCAACTACTAGGTTCAGTAAAGGCCTATGTTTGCATTTCTTATCAATACAAAGAAGGCAACTACTAGGTTCAGTAAAGGCCTATGTTTGCATTTCTTATCAATACAAAGAAGGCAACTACTAGGTTCAGTAAAGGCCTATGTTTGCATTTCTTATCAATACAAAGAAGGCAACTACTAGGTTCAGTAAAGGCCTATGTTTGCATTTCTTATCAATACAAAGAAGGCAACTACTAGGTTCAGTAAAGGCCTATGTTTGCATTTCTTATCAATACAAAGAAGGCAACTACTAGGTTCAGTAAAGGCCTATGTTTGCATTTCTTATCAATACAAAGAAGGCAACTACTAGGTTCAGTAAAGGCCTATGTTTGCATTTCTTATCAATACAAAGAAGGCAACTACTAGGTTCAGTAAAGGCCTATGTTTGCATTTCTTATCAATACAAAGAAGGCAACTACTAGGTTCAGTAAAGGCCTATGTTTGCATTTCTTATCAATACAAAGAAGGCAACTACTAGGTTCAGTAAAGGCCTATGTTTGCATTTCTTATCAATACAAAGAAGGCAACTACTAGGTTCAGTAAAGGCCTATGTTTGCATTTCTTATCAATACAAAGAAGGCAACTACTAGGTTCAGTAAAGGCCTATGTTTGCATTTCTTATCAATACAAAGAAGGCAACTACTAGGTTCAGTAAAGGCCTATGTTTGCATTTCTTATCAATACAAAGAAGGCAACTACTAGGTTCAGTYAAGGCCTATGTTTGCATTTRTTATCAATTTAAAGCAAGGCAACTTCTAGGTTTAGTAAAGACCTAATATGTTTGCATTTGGTATCAATTTAAATGAGGCAACTACTGGGTACAGTAGAGACCTAATATTTTTGCATTTCGTATCAGTTTAAATAAGGCAACTACTAGGCTCAGTAAAGGCCTAATATGTTTGCATTTCTTATCAATTTAGATAAGGCAACTACTAGGTTTAGTAAAGACCTAATCTGTTTGCATTTCTTATCAAGTTAAATAAGGCAACTTCTAGGTTCAGTAAAGACCTAATATGTTTGCATTTCGTATCAAGTTAAATAAGGCAACTACTAGGTTCAGTACAGACCTAATGTGTTTGCATTTCGTATCAATTTAAAGAAGGCAACTTCTAGGTTCAGTTAAGGCCTAATATGTTTGCATTTCGTATCAATTTAAATAAGGCAACTACTAGGTTCAGTAAAGGCCTAGAATGGTTGCATTTCTTATCAATTTAAATAAGACAACTACTAGGTTCAGTAAAGACCTAGAATGTTTGCATTTCTTATCAATTTAGATAAGGCAACTACTAGGTTTAGTAAAGACCTAATATGTTTGCATTTCTTATCAATTTAAATAAGGCAACTTCTAGGTTCAGTAAAGACCTAATATGTTTGCATTTCGTATCAAGTTAAATAAGGCAACTACTAGGTTCAGTTAAGGCCTAATATGTTTGCATTTCGTATCAAGTTAAATAAGGCAACTACTAGGTTCAGTAAAGGCCTAATATGTTTGCATTTCGTATCAATTTAAATAAGGCAACTACTAGGTTCAGTAAAGACCTAGAATGTTTGCATTTCGCATCAATTTAAATAAGACAATTACTAGGTTTAGCAAAGACCTAATATGTTTGCATTTCTTATCAATTTAAATAAGGCAACTTCTAGGTTCAGTAAAGACCTAATATGTTTGCATTTCGTATCAAGTTAAATAAGGCAACTACCAGGTTCAGTTAAGGCCTAATATGTTTGCATTTCGTATCAAGTTAAATAAGGCAACTACTAGGTTCAGTTAAGGCCTAATATGTTTGCATTTCGTATCAATTTAAATAAGGCAAGCCCAAGAAACAAGAAAAATAATTAATAAGACAACAAATGAAAAAAGAGCAAAAATGCAAGAAATAAGAACAAAAAATCAAGATTACAAGAAAGAATACCAAAAAAGAAAAGAAAATTTACAAAATTATCAAGAGCAACGCCAATAAACAAGAAACCAAGAATCAAGAAAAACAGGAAACAAAAACACAAGAAGAAACAAACAAAAGTGTGGCGGCACGAAAAAAAAACACTCGTACAAGAAAAACAGAAAAAAAACCAGCAAAAGAAGAAAAACAAACAAACAAATAAGCAAACTCGTGTAGTTTAAAGTTCATTAAAGTTTGCTACCTTTCAGTTCCATGGTGTGAGTCTTTTATTGTCCCTTACCAATCGCGGTGGCCTCATGGTTAGTCCGCTCGTCTCCGGATCGAGCGGCCCGGGTTCGAGCCGTGGCCGGAGACATTATGTTGTGTTCTTGGGCAAGACATTCAAATCTCACAGTGCCTCTCTCCACCCATTTTTTTTTCTCGCGGTTTTCTTTCACGTCACGCACGACGGACTAAGCGATAGAGGGACTACTCGTAGTCCATGTATACACGTGCTTTGCGATGATGTAATTTGTTTTCGCCCGGCTAAAAAAATATATCACTCTAGTCTGCGGTGGGACTGCATTCCCTTTTTTGTCGAATGCAATCAGAGTGAAAAACCAGTTCAAAGAAAACTCCACAACGTCGAAAACAACGAAAAAAGTCACAAAAAAGAACAAGAATGACGTCGCGGCGGATGGACATGAAATATAGGGCACATGGGTTCGCCATGATGTCATTCATTTTCGCCCCTCCTGCGGGGCGCGCGGCCAAATCTGTGTCGCAAGATCGTACCAAGGTGAACCGTCCCATGAAACTTGACTCAAGTCTGCATCAAATTCGGATCAAATTTGGATCAAATGAAGACTTGGGAGTGTTCGTACGCGTACCCGTAATTTTTTTCCAAAATCCCGAAAACTCTCAAAACACTCACACTGCTACTGCTACGGAAGCTACCATCACCACTAACCCCACCACTGCCACTGCCATTGACACTACCACTGCCACGACCAATAAGACTTCCACTGCTACTGTCACTGACACTAACACCATCACTACAACCACCACTAACTCTCCCACTGCTACTGCTGTGGTTACTGCTTCTGAAGCTGACAACCACTAAGACCAACAATCCACTGCTTCTACCACTGCCTCCAACACTAGCACCACCACCACCACCACTGCTGCTGTCACTCCTACTTGCATTAACACCATCACTATCACCACCATTGACACTCCCAATGCTACTGCTATGGCTACTGTCTCTGCCACTGACACTAAACCACTATGACACACTCCCACTGTTTCTGCTACTGCTTCGGACACTACCACTATTAGGTCTAACTCCAC